TATATAATATGCAAATACGAGACTAAAAAATAAATACAGAACATTTGTACGTCCCGTACGCATAAAGTTTATAAGAATCTTATATCAAGTTTCTAAATATCAGCTTTCAAAAAAATTAAACTCTAAATATCAAAACCCTTAACTTTGAAAAGACGTCTTGGACGGTGACACCAACTCGAGATTCAAATCGCTATAATCACGTCACGTTTTAGTACGTAACAAACTGTCCAAGAGAAATCGTGGCAGGCGAGAGAAGACACAATGTTCCTTTCCCGTTAAACGCTCTCATTACCTGCGTCTACTCGTAAACCACGGTGTGCCAGGGTGTAGGTAAAGGGCGTCGGCAAAAAGAGGGTGAGAGAGCCGCGCGCGCGCACACACACATACACAAACGCACATACACCGTGTGGAGAAGATCGTTTCGCGGGTGGAATCGGCATCGGTGGCCGTCTGCCTCGGGGCAGCGAAGGAGGAGGCCGTGGTGCGAGCGAATGAAACCCAAACAGTCGGCGACTACGGTCGGTGAGGCGCGGGACGTGGAAACGGAATTTAATGTTCCCCTCCAGTGGGTGACTCGAGGGTGTAATTGCCGTAGTGGGCGGAACAGAGCTGGTATAGCGGTGATGGGCGTGGTTCGCTGATTACACCACGTTGATACTGATATCTCGGCTACCGGCAACGAAACCGCAACCCCTCTCTCGTCTCACCAATTTCCCCTAACTTTTCCGGTCGAATCCGATATCCGTCCTGCTGGCCGTCCACAATCCATCGGTACGAATCTGGTTCGATTAGAATTACCCAATCCCAATTCTCGACATCACTAAATACTTCTGACTATGTAGCTAGCTACGGCTAGCTAACTTCTGCTCGATTCGTTCCCAATCTGGGCAATCCGACCTTATGAGCGGAAGTCACGGTTATTTTGAAACGCCAGAGGACTCGATTGGGCGACTAGCTTGATTCGAGGCTGTTGTAGATCGTCTAGAAAATCAAGCTTGAATTCAACATCCTGGAGTAGCTGAAATTGAACAGTCCTTGAATCCATTCTTAGGGATTGCCGTTTATTATAAATTATATTACAGATCGGTTTGTGCTGTGGATAAAATTCATAAGGACCGAGGGTGATTGTTATCCGCTTCTTTTCATCAATGTTCTTTTCCAATTTCTATTCTTGTAACTCTTAACAGTAATTCTGATTTTATTCTATTAATGAGAGAAATCAATTCTTCACAGATAATTATGTAATTGAACGTCTAAATTATTTAAAACTACTTCCGAAGTATATAATTCGTGCTTTAATTTCTCTAAGTAGTCGATTTCCGTTGTTAGATCTATCCGATGAATTTTACCACGTAGTTCTCAATATTTTCGTCCTCCTTTATCCGCTCTCTTACCATTTATAGTTGTTCACCTAGCTCTTCCTCTGGCTTTAGGTACGAATTTACGATATCAACGAAGTGGAAGAATCGAATCAAAGTTCGCCGGGAGCCTCCTCTTTCTGATATCGCGTGGACAATTGCCAGGAGTGCAAGAATTTAAAATTCATTCCCTGCCATTTCTTTCCATTGCGCTCTTATTAAAAATACATTGATTTTTCTCGTGTGTAATAAAATGTTTACATTTAATGCATTCCTCTTTATACATTTATATTTCCTCCTATTTAATAAAATCATTTCCTGCATTTATTAGATGAAACAGATTTTTTATTCAATAGGTCTATTTGTTGGATAGAATCATGAAATGATTGTTTAAAGCTCTGCTTTTATCTGCTTCTTCAACGAGAAGGATTAAAGGAATTCGTAACATTTTTATATATTACATGAGTATTTAATTAAATTTAAAATGGATAATTTTAATATAAATTCGTAATCATTTGGATTGAAGTTCATTGTGTTTTGCTTTTTTTGTACACATCTTCGACTTTCCTTGACTTGGATAGGCGAACGCCACGTGATATCCAGTGTTAGCTGTAATTAATTGAAGTACGTGCGTACCATTTCGCGAATCACGGCAAGTGATTGCCACAGCGAGATGAACGAAAGTTACGTCGCAGTGCCATCGGCGATCCACGCCCCGCTGACTGGACTGTTTTTTATTGCCACCGCGCCCGAAAGATCGACCCAGACCGCAGGACGATTCTTCGTTTTCTACGGTGGGGGGCACTTGGAACGGGGAAAAAGGAAACGCGGAAACTAGGAAAAAGGGGGCAGTACGGGGCCAGGGGAATTTATATAAGAAAACCGTAGGTCCAGTCCGCCTGCAGCTGTAAGCAGGGACAAAGTGGATGGCGACAGTAAACGCTCGAGTCAGCGTAGTGCGTTCGCAAATGTGGATACGTAGATAAACCTAGCGCCGAGATATCACGATGGATGGAGACAACAAATTTATGCGATTTTCATGAAAGACGTAGTATCGTTTATAGAAAAATGTGCAAAGTCATAATTCGTGAATAGTAAACGCGTTTAAGGGGCTACAATTAGGTGTGACTCCTCTCGAGGGGGTAGGCTTGTTAAATAATTTTTATAATATTTGTCGAAAAAATGTTTGACGTTTTTGCTCTGCTTTTCTGATCATCCCCGCAAAAATAGTGCAAAATTTTTAGTCTAAAGAAGTCGACTTCTCATTTTTATATTAACAAATATTTCAATCGTTGAATATCGTAAGCGATACAAAGTAAAGTAAAAATCTTTGTTACTATGCCTTGGAATTTAACAACTTTTATGTTAAAAACAGATTGTTAGACATTGTTCAGAATGCTCTAGATTTAAGTTCCCTTCTTTCTGAAGACATACTGTCGTGTTAAAAGTAAAATGAATTCATTTCAAAATACTTAATTTGTTTTTGAATAATAAAGAAAGTCTGTAGAGCGAAATAGTATGCATTAATGGTACAGCGGAAGCATCAAATTGATCGAATTTGTATATTTTTCTGACAGATTTAAGATATTACATTTCCGCATTTGAGTTGCGTTGAATATTTCATCGTGTCACAGCTGTACTGTATGGTAATTAATATTTTCTTGGTTTGCAGAATTATACGTATAGAGAATAAAGCAACATATGAATTATTTTCTATTTTCTATTTGAAGTGTACGCAGGAAGTAATTAAATTTTAGATCCATACCTATTTCATTAATTTTCCATTCTTCGCGAACTAATTTGACAGTTCTTCAGATTCTATTCCAAGTTGCATCAGTTCAATTCACTGTGAACGAAGACGTTACGCTGCATTATCTTTCTTCCTTCGTTGAATCAATATCTCGTGGTATATTTAGCAGTCATTCTTAGGGGCTCTGAAATAAAGAATGTAACCAGTCGCGATGCTATACGCGACGTTTGTCGCCTTTTATTGAACCACGTTCAATAACGGCTTTATAACATGTTTAGAATAAAGTAGAGTTAAATCCTAGTAAATATTCTCATTCCACGTAACAATTATACAATTTTCATGCACATTAGAACCGTCATTATATGAAATAATTGGAGACAAATTTCCATTAAATAAAATTTCCATATAATAGAATAGCAAGCGATTAGTATTAGAATCTATCTAGAAAGCAGAATAAAATGAAACGAAACATAATTTGTTTATAGATAACTTCTTATATACAATGTTCTTTCGATAAATGTGAAGAGGTACTAAAATTTGATGTTGATATTATGTTTTGTCAAAAGACTCGAACATAGAAAGAAGGATTGAGCTTGTAGTACAAGACAAAATTTGTGAGTCGATTTACAGAAATAATGCAACTACAAAACTTTTTTACTTTTAATTTTTTCAATGTTCATACATATAGAAAGTGTACATAATGGGTGTTTATATGACAGAAGTTCTACTGTCTCACATACTTTAAACTATTATAAGATATTCTTCGAATACGACAAGTAATCCGTTTCCATAACCCTTTTCATTCAATCCATCTACAATTGCATGAGGAAAAGGAGATAATTAAAGACTAGCATAGCCTGTAACAAGTTCGGAACTTATGATCGCTTATGAGGTCATAATAAAGTATTCAAGAACGGAGAACAGCCGAGAAATCGCGTATTCATTTCACACTTTCGATCAAGCGTAGCGCTTGCTACAAGAAAACAGCGAATCAGATCGATTAGACGTCGAGGATTTGTTCGTGGGTCAGATTGTGGTATCGAGTGGGCGTACTGTTCGAGGGTCAGCCAGTCGAGATCTTGGTTTTGCCATTTAACGAGGAACGTCTCTTCTAAATGAGACTCGATGACCTGGCGGAAATGGAGAACGAGTCTGCCTGGTTCTTGCATAGAGGAATGATATCGTTGAAGAGAAAGATGAAAAAACGAGGAGTGCCACGGGTATACAGTCGCAGCTGCACTCGTTCTGCGAGTTCGTTTAACGGGATATGTATCACGTTATCGATGACTTTCTTTCTGTTGTGCAATCGCGGTTTTGTTTTTCGTTCAGTTCGCTGCATGCGTGGAACAAAATTTTATCTGACATTCGCAGTCTCCGCGTGGGACGTATGATCGGTGATGATGGATGGAAGATCATGATGTAATGTTTAATACCAATGTATATACTAACTTAAATTGAATTCGATAAAGTGCTGGTAATACTACACTTGATACATTTTTTAGTAGATTTGTTCTTTGTCACGTACGATCCCAGTTAAGTTTTTCCAACTGAAATGAGTTCCTACATACGAATCCTTTCAAGTCTTTAGTAACTATGGAGGAACTTTCTACGTGTCTTCCAATTGCCGTATTAGTAATGTCTCTAGTCGGTCACAAACACCTGTCCGTTGTAATTTTACTTGTATGCCTTTATGTACTCAGAAGCTTCAACCGATATATTTTCAAAGGCACTCGACTATTGCATTATAATTTTACACAAAGTACTGATAGTCACATAAATGCAAAATGTATAAATTAGCTAATTCATTTCTTTTGTAACATTATCAATAACAAATTAATAACTATAAGTAGGATACACAAAGTACTGATAGTCACATAAATGCAAAATGTATAAATTAGCTAATTCATTTTTTTTATAACATTATCAATAACAAATTAATAACTATAAGTAGGTAGTATTCAGGTGTTGGGAACACTTCCATTTTAAAACTAAACACATGTGCGTTTCGATAATCGTTTTCGAATGTGGTAGGTATCCTCTATACTCTATGAAGTACGCACTACGTTCACATTCGGTGTGGCCGTAGTCAAAGGGACCGTTTCCACTTTTATACCACAGTGGCCAATTGAAAATTTATCGACGCGAAGACAGTGGCTACTGGTATTCCGCTATCCGATCCCGTATTTCGAGAATCGTTTCGTAACCGAAGCCCGATGCTCTTTGCTCAGCAATGCCGCCGCCACGAACGCCGTCTGCATATCAAGACGTACCCGTAGCGCCGTGCCTTCTCTCCCCTCGCGAGCACGTAGGTACCTGCCTATTACCTTTTTGTACTTATTTAATACCGTCCTCTGGCATTTTCCACGTACCGTGAATGCCTAAACACGCGCGGTGATCGGTGAGCCGCGAGGCAGATCACGCGAAATCCGATGAGAAGTCGCCTGCGACGTGTCGGTTTTAATTGCGTTACCCATTTCCAGGAACAATATCTGTACGCATCTTCCTTAGAAGCCTGGATTTTCTCATTATTACAATTCTCGTATTAGAATTATTTTCTCTGTTTTGTTATAATTCGTTAGTTATAAAAATTCGTTAGTTATAAAAAATTCTTTCTTCGCCTTTCTTCTATCATTTTCGTGACATTTGTTTGTCGCCATTACGAATTACGCAGCGATATAATTTCAGTGATCTGGTTTTGTCGAAAGGACTCGTGACAATCGATGCGTGCAGTCATGAATTCGTGAACGTCACGCCGAGAGGGTAGATCATTATAAAACTCATCGACGGTGCACAGCGACGAATTAGCGCGCGAAACGATACGTAAATTATCGGGCTGCACACGACGACTAAGATTTCGAATTACACAGGCGGCGGTCGACAGGCACGCCGACGCGGTTAAGAGCCAAATAAGGGTGGCGAGCTCGCGCATTACCGGCTCCTTTATTATTCATACGCGGGAGCAAGCCGCGTGTAATGCTCTCGCAATATACACACACAAGACATTTAATTTCGCCGCGTGCACGCGCGACGAAGGGAAATCAACCATCACGACGAGGACGGTCGCACTGTCGCTCTCTTGCCCGGGGTGGGTTCAGGCCACGCGTGCGTCATTTCGCGTGCAATTGTGCGACCCACCGATATGCGCAATAATTAATTGATGACAGTACTTTGTTTAACATTTTGTTTGAACATTTTTTCCTTCATACTCATTGATACTTTATTTTGTATGCCATCTAGTCGAAAATTCCTTAATTTTTGTAAGTTACTCTACTTTCTAGTCATCATAATTACATAATAATAAAATGTAATGTGTGTATAATGAAGTTGTTCCGGAAAACTGATAATCAAATAGGATAATTTAAGGGTTAATTACATTATTGACGTCGGTTGAAAAAGATACGGTGAATTTCGTTTCGTTTCAGATCTTGTCTGAAAGAATTTTGTGGTGCTCGCCACGCTAAGATGGGTGTGACCACGGATCGTGATCGTATCGACACGGGTTTGTTTAAATAATCGGGCGTTTCGGAACCCTGGCGGGTATCTCTGTGTCGGCATCTGGCTAGCCAATATGTATGATAATTTTGACATGCCTACACCTCATAATCGATGAATGTGAGGGGATTTGATTGCAGAGACTAACCACAGTCGCGTATTGTATTGGACTTCAAAAACGAAAAAGAGAATTTAAGGAACTTCGGCTGCGTTTTAATTTGTCATTTACTATTGATTTAGTATTATTTTAGTAACAAAATTGTTGTTTAGCGAGATACTTAAACAAGTTTGTAATTCTTTTACATGATAGAGTACATACATGTATATTTGATTTCTTAAATTGTTAATTTTAATAGATATTATTCAGGAGAGATCCTCGGTGTTGGAGGAAAGTATGGAATTTATTGATAATATAGAAAATAAAAACTGTCTCTGAATTTTTTTATGTCGATAATGTATCAAATGTGTCTGCAGTAGGAATCTTCTCTTTCGCGGGTACCGATACGATACCTTTTGTAGATCAAATGTCTTTCCATGTACGAAGATCCCTATATTATGTAACGTCAATAAACTACATCATTTTATCACCGAAGATATATAATTAAAAAAAATGGCAGTTTTAACCGAAATATATACAGTTGGCAGGTATTACTACTTCTTAAGAATTTCCATCATAAGAAAATTACTCCTGATTTAAGCATAATTTGGTTAACAGCTGAACTCTTGGAATCTAAAATTGCTCTCATCGCAAATATTATATTTAATGAGACGTTTACAAATAAAAACTCAGAAATTTATTAGATCAGTTTAATCAAGTCAAATAAAATTGTTGTAAAAACATCGTTTGCTATTTACTTTTGAGATGTACTTTTTTACGTACTCAATTACGGTATCTAAATTACTAATGCACTTTATGGAAAACAGAATTATTGGTAATAAAGTGATCGCAATCTAAAATACATGCATTCAGAAATTAGGAGCAACCTGTAACATTTTGAAAGTCCATTAAGAGCTCAAATGCCTTTTGTAATCGAATTATGATTATAAGGGGAGGATAACAATCAACAGATAAATCAATTAAGTTTGAGTGAAATATGTATGTATATATATCTCGTGAAAAAGCTTTGACAACATTTTATTGTTAACCGCAGAAAAAGCCATATACACCTTCACACGAAATCGATCATAGTTTGTAATAATATCGAAAATTTATAATAATTGAATGTTGTACATAAATATAAAGACGACGATGTTGCACGTTCTCGTGTGTGCCAAAACTGTACAAAAATTATCTCGAACATCTTTCGCAACGCTCGTTGAACAACTTATTACTCGGTGATTGTGGCATTTTTTTTTTATATCATAATCATATTTTCTTTCATTCGTTTCTCCATACTGTTTTATACTTCTTTCTTTACCACCGCCTATTTTTTTATTCGTTCGTATAACACTCAGATTCTCTCCTCCGCATCAGTAAAAGGACACGCTAATTGCATTCTGTAGTACACTCCCAAGTTCGCAGAACTTTTCTTCGACTTCATATGAGATGCGATATATTTAAAATCGATAATCAAATACACGGCCGGAGCGGGTGGAAGGAACGATTTTTGGTGTTTTTTGCGCTTCTATAAATCTACCTATCCTATGTACTTCTGTTTAGCGGCGACGGTCAAGTGCCATATATACACATATGTATATATGTGTGTATACATATGTGTGTATATATATATTTATTTATTTATATATTTATTTATATAATTTTTTTGGTATTTTAGTCGGTACTTCGAACGCAGCACGCACAATTGATATTTTTTTCTCTCTTTTCATTATACAATATCGCGAATTATTATTGATTAACAACAGCGATTGCAATATTTAGACGCGGCGTGCTCCAATTCAAATCTCTATTTCTTTTATTATTTTAATGTTTATATATGTATTTATATAATATACCATTTCCTAGAATCCTCTCGCGGGTATCGCCGTTAATGCGATGATCCACCTTTTTTGTTTGTATCATCATTTTTCTACCGTATTGCTCTAATCATTATCATGATATCGTCTCGACACTATCCAACATTATACTCGCTTCCTTTATCTCTCCTTATTTTCCTTTGTCTATTAATATTCATTTATTTATTCTCTATATCGATTCGTTCGACATTATCGACATGTCAATTATGCATTTATCATGTTAATACTTATTAAATATTTTTTTAATTATTGTAGATCACAGACAACTTGTTCTTAATCCATAAAAACAATTCAATTATTATTTCTTTTCATAGATTATAAGTGTAATCGTGAACATCGTGCAGCGTGCACACATGTTCGTTTGGTGAGATGGTGTTTTCAAGCTTTGTATGCATGTGTATCTGTTTTTATGTATATGTACGCGTTCGTTACATTTTGTACGTAGAACAGGTCGTAAAATAAGAAGAGCTCGCGTCCAATGAGAACCATTAAGATTACTTCATAATTTCATATGCAATAATTGGCCATCGTGCAAATTTCGTATTTTAACTGTTCCATGGATCAGGCATTATATTCTCTGATACGAAGAAAGAAAGATTAGGCAAATCAGATAACTGTTTTTGTATGCTTCCATGTTTTTGCAGATCGATGGCAAATCATATAATTTATTGCTTTTTCGAGCTTTCAAATGTTGCAAAGAAGTAGAAAGGTTCTCGGCACACCAGCTACAACTGTTTGATCAATATTTCGCTGGACAATAATATCACATAAAAATATAGCATCACGAATAGTATAATTCTTCTTTGTTAAGTTTCATACGAATTTGTTAGTTTATTTTTAGCATTCGATATTTATGCTCGAATACATATAATAGTTACGGTTAATGCTCTATAATTAGACACTTTCACGAATTTTCAAAAGCTATAATCATTTTTAAAAATCGTCTATTAAAAAATAGTGAAAAGAGAGAGAAAAATAAACGAAATTGTATGGCGGTAAAAACGTGAACAACGGAAAGTGGTAAAATACTTTGAGCATCAATTTTGCCATCGATCTCAGGGGTGAAGGTTCGTCTGTCCTGCGCCACTTATATCGATTTACGTGCGGTAACGAGGCCGCGATAAAAGTACTGTTACTTGTTTCACCCTCCCTGCAAGTGGCATTTTGTTTTCCTTCGTGTATCGCACGCAGAGAGGCGAGTTTCCTTTGAACTCGCTGAGCAGTCTACAAAATTTTTATTTTAAATGATGGTCGCGTGTAATTTCTGACACTACTATTCGTTATTCAACGGAGATACATACGATCGCTCCCTGCCATTTTTTTCCAATCGACAAACTTGACCCGATCCAACCGCAGAAAAATTACATTCTTCGCCGGCACGAACGTGTATCGTGATGTCGCACAATATGTTTCAGATCGAACTGATACATGCTATGCGTCGTGTATATGTGTATAGGTATTGACAAAGGACTGATGCCAGCTCGATAAAGTATTATATCGTATAACGTTTTTTTTTTCACTGTACTCATACTATCTGAACAATATCCGTTTATGCGAGTGATGTGTGAATCGTACGTTATTTGTCAAAGTGGTATTGCAAAACGCATTCGAAATCGACATAAATATTTGTATCTAGCGAATATCAGTCATGACATTCTATAAAAAATATTGAAATATTTATTGAAGATTATTGATACCCCTCGGTATTATCACTCACTCATTGAATACAAACGAACCAAAGGAAGTTCACTAGTATGAGTCGAACATGATCGGATGTCTCTACATGAATCAGACTTTGCTTCAGCTTTGCAACAATAACGAAAACTTCATCGCGTTCTTTCTACCTGCTACGAGTGATCTCTATGTATTCTCTTTGTACGCTTGCCGGAAAAACGTGGAAAATCGAGTAATCGATGAAAGAAGAGGCAACGCGTGGCCCCCGAAGCGCGATTTTAAGAGTTCACCGATGAAACTCCTGATGAATACACTTGGACAGGAGTTTGTGTCGCAGAGTGAAACGGACGTGTGTACTTGTTACATGTACGTGTGCCTGTGTAAGTGATACTGGTGTACTTGTGTTGATAATACAGTGTGATTTTCGATTCGCCTACGATGTACGTGAAAGTGGCATATCTCGAATGCGCGTCATGATCACACAGCAAGCAGATTATCTTATTAATACTTGTTAACTGTTAACGGTATTCTTAATTCATTAATTTATTCGTTAAACGATAGTTCACTTGAATTAACGCGATCGGTTTTATCGCGCATGTTCGGTTTCTCTCCTCTTCAGCGTTTTTCTGTCGATCTCGTTCGTTCGTTCTTGATCGAGTGAACCAGAGTTAGCTTAGTTGTGCAAAAAGGATCAACATCTTCTTCTTCTTCCTCTTCTCCTTCAGTGTTTTTTGTGTTATTGGAAAATGGACAGGAATGCTTTCGCTCGACTTCTATCACGATGAGGTGGTAGCGGTTCGCGCATTGGTTTATTACATATGTTTACGCATTTCTCTGAGGATCGATTGGGACGACTCACGGCAGAAAACTTAGCCTCTTTCATTTCGTGTTCATCAACATAGATCGATAAGAATGGTTACGCAGAATTGTATGCAGAAACGCAGCCGGACTGTCGACAGGGCGTCGATAAACTATTGCATAACGTTTTTTTTTTTTTGGAAAGCTCTAGTACTATATGAAACATCCCCTACGTTATTCCCTGTATAGTATGACGCAATACAACACGGTCTGTCCAAAAATCGATCCGGCTTTCTCGCTAATACGGGGCCAATATAGAATCGTATCTCTTGAAGCATCCGAGGAACGATTCGAGCGTTTATACGATTTCTACGTTTGCCCAACGTTTCTAGAGAGCCGTTCTCCTCGAACTTGTTCAACCGTCAAGAAGACCGTCAATAATCCAGAAACGGAACGGTTTCCAAGTCGGTGGTTCATTCGCATCTACCCTCTCTATCTCGCTCTCTGACGGCATCGAGTAGCTTGGGGAATTTGTCCTGCGAATTTGTTCATCTCTGGCGATGTTTCGAAAGTACCCTTTGCGACACGACGAGGCCCCAGAGGCGCCAGAATATCGGCAACGAATACAAATTGTAATATTTCCTCTCTGGATCCTCGCCAAGCGACCGATCTTTCGATCTTATTAGCCGCAATCGGCCGGACTAAAAGAATACGAGCCGCCGAACGGATTAATCGTATTAATCGAGTTTGCGAAGTTTATCAGAGGTCGCGGTATCTCGCACGCATTCACGACCAACGGGCGGTTGTCGTAATGTAGAAAAAAGTCTGTCACAAAATATCGTTATATCTCTATTGGATAATAATTAGCGCGTACACAATGTGGGACAGTATTATGCGATAGCGTTGTAGCGTATAATATTAAAACACTCTGTTCGCCGAGAACCGACATTCTGGATCACCCCTAGTCATCGGTGTCCATTTATTTATTTCCTTTCGCGTCAAGGAGAGAACGCCGACGAATTTTACATTTGTATTTTATATATGTATATATTTCTTTTTTAATAATTGGACGCAAATCGACGCCCGTTCCTTATTGAACTCGTACGTTGAGCACCGTGCACCGCTAGTTCACGCCGTGGAAATACCTGAAGTTACATCGCCGTTGCGGTTTCCTATTTCTTGTTATCTTTTTAACTTTCGTTCTCCATTTCTTCGGTAGTCGGTGAGAGAATATTGGCTATATTTGCGGTCGGCAACTTGGACAAGCTACATCGAAAAAAATTATTTTTCTCGCGTCTTCTCCTCCCTCCACCCCATTGCCTCTTTCTGGCTTCCGTTGTTTGTTAGTCCCCCGCTTTTAATGCGGTTTCCAGGTGATGTTGTTCAGACCTTGAAAGTGCCGCTTCAGACTGCTGCCGTCGGCCCAGGAGGAGTTGAGATACTCGTCGTCATCGTCTTGCTCAAGTTTCTGAAACAGACGTATCACCATTACTTTAAACTCGTCATGGAAACCGATCATTGTATGAATATTTTTCTTCTTCTTTTCCTGTGCGAAAACGTGTCAAGTATATTAATCTTTTCTTCTCAGATTACTATTTCATCGATTATCTATACATTGATTCTTTCTTTTCAAATATGTACATACATACACTCATGCGCACTCTAATAAAACTAAAAAAAAGTGTCCCGTCGTAATAACTAGACAACGGATTTTATGCATTTATAAAAAATTAGGTGTGCAGAAAATGTAAAGAATGCGTGTAATATGCAACAGGGACATGAAAAGTACAATAGACATTATTATCTTTGAAGGGTAACATTAATTTCAAATTAGATTTCATTTTTTAAATTGTCAACACTTTGCATAAAAATCCGCAGTCTAGTAATAAAGAAAAGAAGTATTACAATTGAAGTTATAAAATCCGTTCATTTTCCTAACGATGTCAACTAGTAATGGTGCTTCTCCAATTTTAGATCCTAGCTTGTATGTCACGCAATAATTTTATGATTAAATTCACGGAGGTCCTTAGAGACCCTTAGAGACCTTTAGTTAGTCTAGGGAACTTATCGATGACGATGATCGAGAGATAATTGAACTTCGCTGATAGTCCTCAGTCGTTAATTAAATGAACGCTCTTGTACGTAATCTATTCTCAGATATCATGAAACCTTCTTCATAGAATAATTTTATTTATATAGAATTAAGTTTTTATATAATATTAATTTTTATGTTCGATATTATTTGAAGTATATTTTTGTTATTTTCCAAAAATGTTTAATAAATTAATAATTACTATTCAACTTTATATTATACAAAACATATATTTGCTTATTGCCATCTTTAAGTGTTAGTAATTAAAAATATTAGTCAGACATAGATTCCATTAGCCAAGTATCGAACGTCACATGTTCTCACATTAAGTTACTGTAATCGTTTGGCGAAATGAAACAAACGGCAGGAAATGCTGTGAGCGAAGATTAAAATGTTCGCGGGAACACAAAACGATCAACCCCTTCGAATGAAGAAGCGATCCCTTTAATGTTTATTGAGCGCATGCTCTACTTGCTAGTAGCGTCGGAATCAGTTCCACGCAAAACGATGCCATATTATTGATCAAAATGTGTACAAGCTGTTCGACGCCGAAAATCTTCGATATATCGAGCATCGAAAAGGCAACACGATTTTCTATAGTGAAGTTGTACTAACACGGTGTTATTTCTACAGTAATTACAAATTAAAAAGTACTACCCAATTGAATATCAGTCTTTTTTTTAATGTTTTAAATGAAGTACGCTTTATATTTTATCCTGTCTCAAAATTCAGAATAACATAATGAAGAGTAGTAGTTTAAAAAATATGAGAAGTCACTTAATATATTTATTTAATGGACTCTTTTTGATGGATATTAAACAGAAAATAATAAATGTATCGTGTCGTCAGAGAATAGATAACTACGAGCAGCCAAGGAAAGAAAATTGCGGAGTTGGTACGTGCGTGTTGGTACGTTCATTCTCATGGGTGGTGGGAGGGATAAGAGCAGGTTGAAAGTGGAAACGGGGTGAGTTGTTAAAGTTAGGCTTGAGGCCGGCCGGGGCGAAGGTGGTTAGGTCAGAATCGATGCTTGTGTCCTTGCCTGGCCTCACAAGTGGCCTCACTCACGCATCCCATATAAAGATTGATTCATTTCTAACGGACTGGTGGTAGAACATCCATTGTTCATTCAACATTCAATCAACAAATACAACTCATGAAGAAATTTAGTCTGATATTCAGTTTTTTAATACATTTCTTGATCCTTTTACTCAATATGAAAAAAAGATGTAAATTGTTCCTAGTACTGTTTGTGATATGTATATCTATAATTATACTCATGTATACGATTTAAAATATACTTTCGCAGTTCCAACTAGTGTGGAATGGGACATTAGTGCAATTATACTTGTACTGTAAATTATGCTATTTGACAGTTGATCTCACACTCATTCGTATGCATGCACAGTAGAATCTTCGTTTTATGAACATCCATCATGTGAACATCCTATTATATGAATATTTCCTATTATATGAATATTTCCTACTATAATACTGTCTGTGAATACACTACTAGCTGTTCATATACTTATATATTTATTNCTCTTCAGACATCATGATCGTAATTGTATTGCGCTCCAAATTCTGATATATAGTATATAGCATCTAAGAGAAATTGATTACATCGCGGCAGGTAATTGATCGTCGCGGGACACCGAAAAGCCGATGGGAATTTCCTATTAAGCCAATTTGAATTTTACGTTGTATAATGAAAATAATTTTGAAAACTTTTCAAAAGTCGGTCGAATGTTTAAATGAATTGCAACGCTTATTCTGAAACATCCTATAGTAATAGAACGATTTTACGATAGACTGCAGGACGCCACTATACCATTCACCCTCTATTAAAGGCATCTCTGATAGAAGCACAGAACTCGCGTAACATGAAAACCTCGATCCATTAATGCATGCCACTGGTAACATAGCAGCTTCCAAGTATTTGAACATTCCCCATTTTATTTACTATTTTTATTACATGCACATATTAAATTCAATTGATTCTAACAAATATTGCAAAGAATACTCGAGCTCCATTCACGTTATCCAAGCTATGAAAATAGTTTTATGTACGATAATGTTCGCGTCTCTATGACGAATACGTCTATAAAACGAGTTCTAAAAATGAATTATTTATTTTATATCGCTCGTAAAAGAACGAAGTTGTTTTATCCGAAAGTTTCGTCGTTGAATCAATTTCAAAAACACATTTCAATATGATACATTATACATATTTTTTAGATGTATAAATCGTTTATACTTATGTTTGTAATTCTTTATTATAGCATTCATTGGTGATCGTGCATAAAAGGGGTCACTTCACCGACTTCAGTGGGTTTCATTGAAATATTATATACATATATTCGGGGGTTTAATTCTGAACAATTTTTCTCTACATATACATGTTACCACCCCTCGACATCACTTTCTCACATGTACGTGAAAAACTGTTTGTATCATCTCAACTTCAATCGCTGTATGTCGGCTGCTTAAAAATTGCGTTACGATGTAAAAAACACGATAAAACATACGCTATTATCCATCCCTAAGAGTGCATCACCTTTATTATCTTAAAGCTATAGAAGGGTGGCATTAGAGCGTCCAACCTCGACACATGGTGCGCCATAGGTCAAATCTGCAAATTGTTCTAGTCTTGAGTTAGGTCTTTAGATTAATAGAGATGATGGATTAATTGTAGAAAATACTTTTTGCTAGTTGCATTATCTTCGTCTATTAATAAAAAAAATTAATTCCTTTGAACATAATAATGCAGAAAATCAGTTCATGTATAATAGATACCACATAGAACGATTTTGCAGAAATTTGTTAAATAATGAGGGAGCTTAAAATAGAATGGAGCGTTGCAAGTTTCTACGTTATAACACTGTTAGCCTGCTTTGGAATTGCTAAAAGCAAATGTATTTGAACGTTCGCGCTGTATAATCAGATTTCATTGTGCCTGCTTTGTCTTCATTTTATCGCGTCTTCCCTCAACGATTGCACAATGAAAACGTGGTTTAACAAAGATATGCACCTTTAATATTCTGCGGTGCATTCTATAATCACATATATAAATATATCTCTGTTTCCATGAATAAGTTCCATAAAAGAAGATCGCTTTAATTATTCATTTTTATTTTCCACGATAATCCTGAGCTTAATATTACGTAATAGATAATAATATTGTTACGAGCATTGGCTATAAGATGTATAATTATAAGACGTGCATGTTTAAAGACATGAATGAAACGTAACATTTTCATTCCGTTATAAAATACCTAATTTTATACTAGAATCCTTTCTGAAAAAATTGTTATAAAATGAAGTGTATTAAAAAACCGAAACCTTTATGCTGTACACTTTGGTGTAAATAAGAAACTTTCATTTTCTTGAGAATAGAAAAAAAGCTTTAATTGAGCATGAACATTCATTCCGTCCTGAAAAAGTTCACGTCTTGATAAGTAGATTTTCTGGATATGCTTTGGTGTAGACTTAAAGTTTAAATTCAATTTAATTATATAAAAATCACAACGTGCTTTGTCGCAAATTAGAAGGAACGAAATTAGAAGAATACGTTTTACTCTGTAATTTAAAATCCGCTGCCTTATGTCTATGTTGATCGAAATAAGTAAAATTTGCTTTATTATTAATTACCGAACAGTATAACGTCATGCACATCCAATCATCGAATCAAATTTCTCTATTCACGAAAATTTAGATGCGTGACAACGGGTAAACATTTCGATACAAAGGGTTAAATCGCGTTCGAGGGGTAAGCCAATGGTCGATCCTCGCCCGGAAATCTCGAAGCCATAGATCCGGTTCGATAGGACGGAGCTAATCGAATTCGGAGCGCAGGCCGCAGTGTTTGCGCAGGGTCATCGGATATCTTCGGTTTGTCGCGGTCCACCGGTGAAGTTGACCGTGTAATCATCCGATATCGACGCTCGTGCCAACCTTCTATGGACCGATGTTACGGATATTTATACATACATAATAATCCGCGGCCATGTACATGCAAGCATCGGGAGTGCATTTTATGCCTTGTCCCGCTGACAAAGGCCAAAGGCTTGATGGCCGTTTCCACGATGCGGTTTCCATTCTTTCCATTCGATACCCTTGTGGCACCTGAATCGGTTTTTTGTCGTCGTGAAGGAATCTCGCTCCTTGGTTTTTACACCCAGCGAGTTCGGATCGATACGTGAAGGGAATGCGCGGAAACGAGTTTCTGCTTTTATGGATCCGAGCGAGGATGCAAGTTCAAGAGGGATCGAGGTGATTTAAAACTTTCAATGCAAAAGAAAGCGCCTGGTACGAGCGCTTTGCTGCGAAATTTTAACTACGCTATGTTTTGAGAGCCATGATATAATTACACTTCGGTTTGATGCAAGCTTTTCTCAGAAAAGAGCATTTTAAACATCACAAGTATATTTATGACTAGCATCCCCCATCGCAGTTTCAGTAAAATTCAAAATATGTAGTATAGAAATATTTCATGAACAAACATTAAATCACTAATTGTAAGTAATGGAATATAAGAGATATTGAGAATTGTAAATTTAAATATAAATTTTACCCCCTTCTTCACTCCCTTAATGGATAATTGAGGTCAAATCCTGAAATTGATATTTGTATGGGTAAACTTTGTAAATGAAAACCAAACCTATAACTCATCAAACTTAAATATTGAGAAATACGTGAAAATACGTTTCAACCCAGTAGGTCGTAAATTTTAAGAAATGCACTAAGGTGTTGATTACTTAATATTTTGGAGCAAAAATTTCTTGAATATTTTTGGATTATAAAAACCTATTGTCATTCTTTTTCGATCCAGTAATTATGCATAATAATGTTGTTTGCTTTACAAATAAATATATCTTATGACACTCGCGAAAAGGCACTTATTTATTATCTAAAATAATATCCATTCCTAATTGCTACACATATCCATTCTGTTTAGTTCTTTCGTGCGGAATCCCTATAAAATTTCCTAATACGATGTACACACTTTGTTATTCCTAAACGAACAAAACGGTGAGCGTGTCGTGGTTGTGTATAATACCATCTCAGTCAACTAAACCGATTACCACTGTGAAAGTAACAGTTCTTTTACACCTGCGTTGGCACATTGATCGGAAACCTCGTAGTTAGAGTAATGCGGTTTGCTAAATGCCAAGACGTGATGCTCAAAGCCATCCAAGTGTCTTATTAACGACGCTTACTTTCGCTCAACTGAACCTCACTAGCTACAAATGTAACGTTATTGATTGAAACAGCATGGACTATTGCTGTAAAAGTGTTCGGATGAACTTATGCGTGTACGTGAGTGGGTAGATGGAATGCGAGTGTCCGATTGCACAGGTAATGGGATGAACGCGATGACGATAAAAAAGAACCGTTGAGAGTGGAGAAGAAGAATAAGAGACGACGAATAGCTTGCTGCATGTACTGTGATTTCTCGCGAATATATTAAATCAGGGTAACCATATTTTCCTCTTATCAAAAGAGGAGAAAATGGCATTTGTTAGAAAAAAAAGAAGACGAAGGAAACAGCACTTTGATGTCGCATGTATTCGCTTACCCCTGAATGGAGTACGAGTTGGGTATCCCATCCAGGCTTTCCCTGCTGATGTCGTCGGCCATGGCAACTTTCATGTGATGCCCGAAGCTCGCCAGGTTTTCCCTGAAAGCTTCGCTGCCGGGTGTAAGGGCGCCGCTTGTTAGTGGCAGGGGTGTTGCATTGCTATCTTCATCCTCACCGACCTCCTCGCCCTCCTCAACAGCCGGCACCTCTTCTTCGTTGTAAATCTTGAAGTAGGCGATGGTGAGATATATCACCGAGATTATGAAAGACGGTATCGGAATTGCCATCGCGTACACCAGATTCATGTACACCTGCGGAGAACACCCATGGAACCTCACGGATGCTTGCACGTCTTCCACTTTTGCACGCATACACCAAACAATGCGTCCAATGGATTTTTCTTTAGAATTATCAATTACTTGGAGAAATTTTATTCAGAATTTATCAATTAAACGATTTTTAACTTGTAAGGAGCAAAAGGCGGAATGATGTTTAGGAAAAGTAAAATAATGTACGTATAATGATTCCCATTAATATTCGGACACAATTTAAAACAGTATAATTTTTTTAATACTGAGCCAAACAGTTTAATGGGAGTCATACAGTATATGAAAACTATAGTTCCAGTTTGTAATACGAAAAAGTAATGGCATTGAGTCTGAGAGAAACTCGACGACAATATTTCTTAAAAATCTCGATCTTACTTACGCAACCCCAGCAATCACCGCATACAAGCAATAAAAACGAGACGACAATAAAAAGCTATTTCGGTAGCGAATTCCATTTTCCCTGAAATCCTCCAAATCCACGATCATCCCAACGAATTTCCTCGATGCCGTCAAACGGCTCGACCCTCTGGCCGCGCCTCGAGGGCGTCGTTAATTTACGAAATTGACACACGTAGCGTGCCAGGAGTGGCAAGCTTTTCCGGCGATGCGGCGGATCCACGATGTTATCGTCGCTTTATAATGGGCATGCCCCGCTCCTTCTCCTTCCACGTTCTGCTCTGTTTCCTCTCTCTTTCCTTCGTTCGAGAGATTCAATTCCGCCACCGTGCTGTAACAGCGGACGCGGACGAGCGAGAAATTTTATTTTCTTCCGCGCAACGCCGGCACGAGTTTCATCGGGTACGATGGGTTTCCGTCTTTGTCGTCGGCTGGGGCATTCAGCCCGCTTGAAATGCATTGTTCGTCACCGTGCAGGCGGCTACGTTTCCGTAAACGTAAAGGAATTCTACCGAGCCTCTCGCCGCCGGAAAATTGTTTTTCCACGTGTCATGATGTACCACCCGGTATTAGATTCCCTTTCCCGTTCGCGACGCTTGCTTCGTTTTTAGATCGCGCCGGTATTTCTCATTTACACGCAATTTGCAAGATTAATTTTTGGAAAGCTTCTTTTGAATGAATTACGTAGCTGTGTACACGATACGTACAGATGTATACACAGCAAAATGGATTAGATAAGAGCGTTATGTTTCAAATAAATTTTCATTGCTTGTAATTTGTATGGTTTTCAAATATCTATAATCGAAAAATTAATTTGTTGCGCTTTTGCATTGAATGTCGTTTTGAAGTTGCCCAATTTATTTAAATAAGTCTCTTTCCATAGATATGATCTGAGAAGACACGGTGTGAATGTTAAAAGACGGAACATTAAAAGTGTCACTCTTTTTTCTAAGCCGTAGAAACTATCACCGCATTTATATAATTACATATCGCCGCCTGCTTTTCAATTTCGAATATTCGTCCCGTTAGCAAATTAGAAGAGCTTGAGGCACATAATCGATTGTTCCTCCGCCTCATTCAGACAAACCAATTCAATCATCATCGTGCTCGCCAACTATGTACCCGTGTCTTTGAGTTCTAATTAAAGCGGATACACATCTCCGTTAATAACACTATAACATAGCCACTTAACCATTTACTGCGAAGACGCTATTAGCTGCATAATGCAGCACGTTCCCGATACCCGCAGTATCGATTCACAGTTCGGCGTATCTCCATCCACGAGGACAGTAAGACTCGTACATAAGTCACACAGGTAGAGACTAGAGACCGCTTTCGCGTGACTTGTATGTGCAAGTACCGGGTGTAAATCGGCCCGGCAATGCCTAGAATGCGGTAACTGGGTTACACACCGAATTAAAGGATACGTCATCGCGATGAAATTCTTCATTCTTCTCGATTCACGTATGTACTGTTCTCAAATGCTTGTCTTCAAACCGGAAACAGTTCATTATCGTAATTCACGGTTCGATGGGAAACGTGCATATATAATCGAATTCTTTATCGAAGTTCATTGTGCATTGTTTATTTGTTTGTTAAATAAGATCAAGATTTAAGAAAATTATTTTCATATTTACTATTCATCAGGTGTTTACGTAGTTCTGTCGAGACTCCTCGAAATAAAATGGAGAAGCAGAAAAAGATGAAAAAATTTAAGTGACAGATGGAAGAGACAAGGGAAGGACTCTCTCGTGCCCTTAGGTGTGTAATTCAAAGCAAACACCAAATAAAGCTAACTAAATTATACACGCATGGATCAGACAGTAAATATAGTTACGTCGCATACGCAAGTGAGACTGCGCTCTGCTCTGACGAACAGTTTACGCAGCGCACGTCAAGGAAATTTAAAATCGATACACAGATAAAAGTACAGAGTGTCCCTGGATAAGGCGGTTTGCACGAAGGATATGGTATCAATTATAGTTTCAGAAGTAGTTACTTAACTATGCTGTTTAATAAATTTATTGCTGAAAGGTATAGTCTTGGATAGTGATAGAATATTTTAGCAGTACCTTTATTTTGCACTTCTTCCAAAAATAACAAACAATATATTACGATGGCAAGTAGTCAATAAGGTTTGGAGGTCAGCCAAAGGTTAGATACACCTGGATATACGAGACATTGACGTGGCCCTACTTACTACATATGTGTGTAATACGATCATGAGTTTCTTGTTTCATTCCACTTGGCCCATAATTTCACTTATGGTGACCATCTTCTTCGGGGGACACTCTGTACGGTTAATAACAAATATAGAAAATCGTGAAGAGACCTGCCACATGTCGAGGTCGCTGATGACTATCCCGGGATCCACTTTCGAATAGTAACAGCTAAAGTTTTTCCCTATTTTGGTGTACTGCCCGTAGAAAATACTGCAATTCAGCATTGGAGGGTATCCACAGCCTTTTACGTTGGGGAACAGCTTGGCCCCGGTGAAGTACCACTCGGAGTCGTTGCCCATGCGCCCTGCGAACTTCGCCTGGTTATCATCCAGTCACTTCACGCGCTCGTCGACAGATATTTCCAGCAGAGAGCGAGAGAGAGAGAGAGAGAGAGAGAGAGACAGTAGCTATTGTTAGTTAGATTTCACACAACAATATGCACGTTAAAGCCTCTTTTCGTATAGAGTTGATTTCGGTTTGGACTATAATACATTTTGCAGTTTCGTTAGTCGAACAATGCTGCACATGGTTCCGCGCCTACCTGATCCTTTGTCTTGCTACAGCTTCGTTCGTTCTCTCGTACATTTTTTTTAAATTCAAAAAGTACACTAAATTTGGAAGTCGTGTGATTTTGTTATTAATTCACTGTACCTAATACAATATCATTTTGTACTGCACTGACGGAGTTTAAAGAAAGCCAATTGTTTGCTTAATTGTTTTTCGTGACTTACATTCGACTGGGTTTCATATCGAGTTGTTTTTAAAAACGTGGTCTATCTCTCCTGAAATTATCCTACTCGTGGAACCGGTAGAATCCGAATTATTTGTCAGTAAGTCGGGTAGGAAATGCAAAAACTTCGCATATAAAATTATTGATCTGAATCATCCATTATCTTGAGGATAGTAATGTGGACACGAAAGTAGAATACGTTGTCCTGTACCTGTAGGAAAGGGTGTCGGCAGTCCAGCTTCATCGTTCTCGGCGAAGTCTTCCTCAAGGTCTTCGACGTACTCGTACTCCCTTAGGGAGCGTTCGTAACGCGGTTTTCCCGTCCCTGTGCTATCTTCGTCATCCTCGACACCTCCTACCGCTCCACCTCCCTCACCCTGGTCATCGCTATCCTCGGACGCGTTAATCGGTAGCTTATAATTGACGCGTATTTGCGTGCAATCGTACAACTCCTTGGTGCAACCCTCTCTACAGGACGTCCATGAACAGTTGCTCGTACCTGGACTCAATTGATTGTTCATGGACTTTTTGATGAATCTTCAACGACAGGAGTATTATAGGGAACCAGACACGAAGAAACGAATCACTATTATAGACAGAGACTGATGCACGCCGAAAAGATTATGCCAGAGTCGATTTAATTAAAAACTATTATTTTCAGATTGGCGAGTTTCGATCATTTTTGTAGAAGTCATAAAGTTATTTTAACGAAATATGCAAATAATATGTACACAAATTTTTAAGATAGAATGTACGTATCTATACATATAAATGTATGTATAAAATGCATGTAGGTATATGAAATAATATAAATATTAATAACTTGAAACATCAAAGGTTACGATGCAGTAACATTTAATTGAATAAAATATAAAGGTCAATTATAATTTTGAGTCACTATTTGGTTTACGTTTACGCATACAGATTATGTTTATTAAGCAAACACTGCCAGATGGGGAAACCTGAATATTTAAAGGTCTAAACTAATACTGTGTTACGAAATAATCAACGTTTAGAATAAATATCGTTATTAGAACTAAATTGAGACTCGATTTTTATTCATTCAGATTATTCAAATAGTATTTTACACAACAAGACACTTGATATATTCACAAGTTTATTCTTCGTTAAATATCAGAACAATAGCAATCTAACTCTGTTGCGAGAATTTTCGATTACTTTTTCGGCATGCATCACGTATTATGCGAACAATTAGAGACAAACGAAGAAGATAATAGTCAAGAGACACATACGGGGGAAATTGCCATGGCTACGTGAGTTGAATAAATTATATTATATTATCGAAGAAGATCCAAAGAAGAGGAAGCGAAGTTGACTAGGGAGGAAGAATGCACGGTGGTTTGATTGAGCTTCTTTTTCATGACGAAGAAAGATTGCGGTAAAGTTCTCAACCATACTAGACCCCGAGGCAGACTGCGAAATCCTTGCCCTGACCTCGTCTTTTTTTTTTGTGAAAGTTTCGAGACTAAAGATTCCACCAATGATGTAGTTGACACATAGGGTCACAAATTTGGATGAGATCCAATCCAGTGAACTTCTAGTTTGAAATGTGCTCCATTAAGGTTTTAATTCTCTTACCAAAAGTTACAGTTCGAACCCGTTATACGGAAAGTTTAAAGTTAAATTATTAAACTTCGACACAAGGTTGATTCGTGAAATTTTGATCACGAAGAAGCTTTGATAACAAGAAACTAATTGTAGAAAAGCGAACGGATTACAATGAAATAAAAATTTTTAATGAACAAATTAAATTGTTATAATAAATGTAAATAAATCTTTGGATTGGCAAAAATAAAGAATTTAGGAGTCAGACGCGATGTTATTTTAGCGAGTTTGCGCAATGCGATAAATTTTGATTAACGAAGTACGGTGTGTTGCACTCACGTCGGGAACTGTAATTGTTAATTAACCGCGGTTACAAGATTGCTCTTGCATGGCATCGAATATAATCTAACTTCGTGCATTTTCTTCCCTTCGCAAATTTGCCCTCAAGTTCGTGTTCTCGCTGAAATCCTATTACGAGAGACATCAGTTACACAAGTGTAATTAACTTGCTGATAGTCAGTGTGGCGGATTCGAGTGTACCTCAAATGTTGGGTCAAACGAACAATATTGTGATCAAACGATAGACATCTGAAGTAATAAGCCCTTGAACATTTAATGAACAAAACAATTTAATAAATTTCCAATGTTGGAAAAATTTACTTATTTTTGTAAGCTTTCTATGTCAGTGGAAAACGTGAGGTCATCAGAGGCTTAATATGAACAGACGCAGTCAACCTTGCACAAGATTTAAGGGTTCACATATAAATTGTGGACAACACAGTGTAATCAAACTTGGTGAGAACAACATGAATACGGACAGTAGAAATCTACGAGAAGACTGAAAGTACTTTAGGAACATCTACGAAAAGGAAGAATGGCAACCATAACAATTAATGCGATATGAAACACTAACTGCAACCAACATGAACGCATACAGAGTCCGGGGAAATGGAACATATTCATACACGCATTTCAACGTTGGGACAGTTGCAAACTGCGTTCCAACGCTTCCTATTCATAACATCGTATCTCGGCGGATTATGCAATAAGTATAATTGTATTTTACGGATAATTCAATACGATCTTAATCCAAATATCGATGCAACAACATTATATTTCAGAGCAGCGTTCAATACGATTGTAATTCAAATACCGATGCATGTGGAACGCGCTGTTGAAGTACAACGTTGTTCCATCGATGTTTCAGTAATTAGAAGTATGCGAGAACTCCGGGATGAGAATTTTTCTCGTGATCGTTACGAGTTCTCGAAAATCTCGGAAATCCCGAGAATGTTCGGGATTCTCGTAAACATCCGGAAATCAACGTTTAGAATAAATATCGTTATTAGAACTAAATTGAGACTCGATTTTTATTCATTCAGATTATTCAAATAGTATTTTACACAACAAGACACTTGATATATTCACAAGTTTATTCTTCGTTAAATATCAGAACAATAGCAATCTAACTCTGTTGCGAGAATTTTCGATTACTTTTTCGGCATGCATCACGTATTATGCGAACAATTAGAGACAAACGAAGAAGATAATAGTCAAGAGACACATACGGGGGAAATTGCCATGGCTACGTGAGTTGAATAAATTATATTATATTATCGAAGAAGATCCAAAGAAGAGGAAGCGAAGTTGACTAGGGAGGAAGAATGCACGGTGGTTTGATTGAGCTTCTTTTTCATGACGAAGAAAGATTGCGGTAAAGTTCTCAACCATACTAGACCCCGAGGCAGACTGCGAAATCCTTGCCCTGACCTCGTCTTTTTTTTTTGTGAAAGTTTCGAGACTAAAGATTCCACCAATGATGTAGTTGACACATAGGGTCACAAATTTGGATGAGATCCAATCCAGTGAACTTCTAGTTTGAAATGTGCTCCATTAAGGTTTTAATTCTCTTACCAAAAGTTACAGTTCGAACCCGTTATACGGAAAGTTTAAAGTTAAATTATTAAACTTCGACACAAGGTTGATTCGTGAAATTTTGATCACGAAGAAGCTTTGATAACAAGAAACTAATTGTAGAAAAGCGAACGGATTACAATGAAATAAAAATTTTTAATGAACAAATTAAATTGTTATAATAAAT